AATCATCAACACGAGTTTGATAAAGTTCTTTCCAGCTTAAATCTATCTTCATTGGAGCAAATCAATCAGTGCATGCGCATAAGTCATCTTACCTGTGGCTGCAAAAGTTTGCTGAAGTCAGGTTTGAGGTAGAATATGATTCCATCGACTGCGCCAGGAAGAGTGACCCCCCGGACAAGCAGGGCGAAGAGCACAACGTAGGGGAAAATCGCTGTGAAATAAGCAACCTGGAACGGGAGGTGAAGTCAGGTGATAAGTTTTTTAAAGCATGACCATGCAGCTTCAGATACCTACATAGAGGATAGCCCTTTAGATTTAAGAAAGATTTCTGAACTCAAATTGGGAAGGTGACTAACATATAATTGATTTTTCATGACTTGATATAGTCAATTTAGACAAAATGTTATGACAAGAAATCAGTTCTAAGTCATTCAAAACCATTTTAAAAGGGTTCAAATTTCATGCTTGGTGGAACAAAGATTAATCCAACCCAGAAAGGACAGCCTGAATCTAATTTTCAACGGTTGGCGAACTTGGATCGGTAAATGGACGAAATCATTGGAATCCAAACCAGCTAGACTCATCTGTGGATGTTCCTATTCAGTGCAATATACGATCATTAAAGCAGTAGNGCGAAGAGCACAACGTAGGGGAAAATCGCTGTGAAATAAGCAACCTGGAACGGGAGGTGAAGTCAGGTGATAAGTTTTTTAAAGCATGACCATGCAGCTTCAGATACCTACATAGAGGATCGCGCTTTAGATTTAAGAAAGATTTCTGAACTCAAATTGGCAAGGTGACTAACATATAATTGATTTTTCATGACTTGATATAGTCAATTCAGACAAAATGTTATGACAAGAAATCAGTTCTAAGTCATTCAAAACCATTTTTAAAAGGGTTCAAATTTCATGCTTGGTGGAACAAAGATTAATCCAATCCAGAAAGGACAGCCTGAATCTAATTTTCAACGGTTGGCGAACTTGGATCGGTAAATGGACGAAATCATTCGAATCCAAACCAGCTAGACTCATCTGTGGATGTTCCTATTCAGTGCAATATACGATCATTAAAGCAGTAGATCGTACTCCAGAGGACAGAATGCGTTGAGTAAAAGACAGCTTTGATAAAGAAACCCTTACACTCTTAATTACATCGTTAGTTTTTAGTAAGATGCTTAATTGTTCTTCCGTTTGGTCGAATACGTCAGCTGAAAACATAAAGAGATGTCAGTCAATTCAAAACTTTGCCAGTAGGATCGTCACGAACTCTAGGAAATACGATCATGTAACTCCTCTACTTCAACACTGGCTATCCGTTAAGCAGCTGTTACATCATAGGAATTCTGTACTAACTTACAAATGCATGAATGAACTCGATTCTGAATATCTAAGCAAGGAATTTATCAAGCATTCTAACGTTCATACCCGTGACACTCGGACTTGTGACGCGGGGAGTCAGTACGCGCGCTGTGATTGGTCAATATAGCGGGCTGTATTCTCCTGTGCGGCCCGCTAAAATTTAAAGTTGGTTTTGTTGCCAAACTGTTTCGTAATTTATTGCTAAGTGTTCTTAACTTTTATAGCAAGTGAAAGTTTAAAACTTCCTTATACTCTAAATTATGTAATAAAGCGTGCTAACGAACTGACTCGTTTTGCTTTCGAGGTGCGTCAGAAATTTGAAGCCTTTGAAGCCTTTGAACCATTCAGAGCGCGCGTAGAATCTCAGTTATTTTATAAAGTGTGGTAAATAAAGCGAGAGATCTACTCTGATGGCAAAAATTGGCCACAAAGGACTGCAGAATAGGGTTATTAGAGGCAACATTTTGTGTGTTAGATTTACCTTGCCAGAAGATTTGATTCCCTTATAAAGGCAACAGAACACAGCAGTCCAAGCGATCAACAGACAGATGACCAGCGGCAACCGCAATTCACCTGGCTCATCAATACCACTTGAAATAGCAAGAATATAACGCCTGACAACAAGAAGATTAATTTAACGCGATTAGTGGAAACTAGAATAAATATTGTTGTTGCTTTAGTCTCACATCCGACGAGCTCTAAAAAGGAATTGAATAAGAAGAAACAAATGAAAAATGTGTATTACGTTTCGTATCCAACAATCAGAAGTGAACAGTTCAAAGTTGCATTCAATCAAAATCCAATTATATGATTTCGTCGTTGCTTTGTGGACGTTAGACTAGAGTTTTCTTGATTCTTGTATTCGTTCTTGATTTCTGTAATGACCGGTTTCTAGTGTTCTATGATTACTTTTGTTTTAGTTTTAGAACAGTGGAGCTTACAGAAAACAATAAATACAAACAATCAAACAAACAAACAAACAAACAAACAAACAAGGGCATCATGCAATACTCACTCCCAGAATTCCTCACTAGGAGATGTAAGCTTCATTGTACAGTTCAACGGCTGACCGATGGAGGTGCAGTTGGAGGTGAAATTCCCCCAAGCCTCACTAAGAAAAGAAAATTCGAATTAAGACAACAAAGAAGTTTCGTTACTTGGTTGCTGTCAAGGCTTTAAACTGTCTGGCAGGACAGGGTGTGCTAAATTTTTTCTGAGCTACTAGAGGTTTTGAAAAAGAGCCCTCGTGTGAATTTTCCTTTAATTGT